GTCTACAGAGTGAGTTCCAGGATAACACTCTTTATCTACAGCTCCCTTGTCCCCCCCCCCTCCCCCGCCCAGCACCAGGCCCGTCGGCTTACCTGCTGCCATGCTTCCTGACATGACGGTCATGCTCTCTACCACCCCTAGAACCATGAGCCCCCAGATTAAATGCTTCCTTTAATAAGTTGCCTTAGTTGTGGTGTTTTGTCATGGCAATAGAAATGTAACTAAAACACTTTCCTAACTAGTTCATCTAGTTAAAAGATTGGCAATTAAAAACACATCTTTCAGGAGCCCATGAAGATGGCTCAGTGGTTACAGGTACTTGTCACCAAGTCTGATGACCTTAGATTCTCAGAACCCACATGGTAGAAGGAACTACTTCAAGCTGTCCTCTGACCTCCACATCTTTTCAAAGAAACGACTCTTGATTTTGTTTATTTCTTAACTGCTTTATTTTCTATATTTCATTGGTCTCTGATGTGATCTTTATTACTTCCTTCCTTCTACCAGTTATAGATTCAGGTGCTAGAACTACAGGTGTATAGCACCAGACCTGGTTTCATGGTTCTGTTTTTTGTTTGTTCTACATGAACTTTAGAATCATCACTTCTAGCACCAGAAAGAAAACTTTGCAGCTATTTTTACTGAGACTACACTAAATGTGTGTTAGGTTATATAAATCAGACGCTCTCTGGGTGTTAGGTTACTCTATCCTGGGAAAGGTACCTTGAAACTTTAGCTGAGTTTTAAAGATTTTTTCATTGATGTTTTAAAATTCCTAAAATTTTAATCCTTTTGTTTTTACTGTGAGACTATCCCTTCCTAGTCTTATTTGTTAAACACCTGGTTTGTGTGTTAGATGTATACTGCTGTCTTACTAAACTCTCTGTTCTCCGCATGTGCTGTTGTGAAGACAGTCTCACACAGTCCAGACTGGACTCAAAGTTACCATGTGGTTGAGAATGACTGTAGCTGGGTGTTTGCTACTTGGTGGGCTCTTCTTTTTCCCCACTCTTTCAACCCCCTAACACTAGATAAGAGAAAAAAGGATAGAGAAGAAAGGAAAGAGATGCCTGAACAAAGTCAGAGGTCAGAAAGGGGGGTAATGTTATCATTAGACTACTTCCTGCTGATTGGGGGTTAAGTTACTTAGGCAAGTTTGAGCTTCACTATATGTATACCTAATTTCTTCTTCTTTGTAGACAACTACTTAGTAAAATGCACTAACAACCAACAACAGCCAACCAACAACCCATCCCACTTGTCAAGGCCCTAACATTTATATATCCTCTAAAGGTCCCCAGAATTCCAAACATCACACAACCACAGAAATTATCTGCAGCTTGCAAAATCACACCCTGACACAGCATGAGGCAAATCACACTCAGCTGTCGTGGACAATCTGAAGCAGCCCACCTTCCCACATCTGGGATTAAACCAAAAACATATTCTTATATTTCTGTGTTTTTTAAAGAAACCAGTATTACAAAATTGTCACTACAGATGGCCTTGAATCCAAGTTTCAGGCAGTCACCTCTGAGTGCTGAGGTTATAGGCATGTACCATGGGACTGGGCTAAATTATTTTTCATTTTAGTTATTTAGGTTATTCTTTTGTTTTTTAAGATTTATTTATTTATGTATGTATGTAAGCACATTGTTGCTGTCTACAGACACACCAGAAGAGGGCATCAAATCCCATTACAGATGGTTGTGAGCCACTATGTGGTTGCTGGGAGTTGAACTCAGGACCTTTGGAAGAGCAATCAGTGCTCTTAACCACTGAGCCATCTCTCTAGCCCTATTTAGATTATTTTTATGTGTTCTAGATAATTTCCATCATCTGCAGGTAAGGACAGTAGTACTTTTTTACTTTCAAGCTTTGTGCCTTGAATAATTTCTCTTACTAATTTCACTCTTAAGTCTTCAATACAATATTAAATAGCTGGGTTGGTGGGGGACTGAGGCAGGTAGAGCAGGAATTCAAGGCAAGCCTCAGCTATACAAAGAATTTAGGATCAACCTGGGGTATATGAGATCCTGTCTCAAAAGAACTAAAAGTGCTGGGCACTGTGGCTAATGCCTGGGCAGCTGAATGAGGACTGCTGCTGTCAGTTTAAGGCCCACTTTGGCTACAGTGAGTTCTAGGCAGTCTGAATTATCACTTAAAACCCTGTCTTTAAAGAAAAAAGCGGGGGGGGGGGGGGGGAGAAAGAGAGAGAAAAACAAAGAGTGTTCTGAGCATTTATAGAAATAAAGCACTCAGGTTCATACAGACAACCCCAAAGTACAAATCAACTTCTCCTGCTCTACACCTTCATCCTGACAGTGAATACTGCAATCCAGTGCAACCATAAACACACAGGCTAATTCTCATTCATAGATGTAGGTGTGAAGGAAGTTTAGCTACACATGAAACCAGATTCTGTTGTTTTAGGAATACAAGGCTAGTTCACCATTAGAAAATCACCTAAGATAACTCAATACAGCACTAGATTAGAAGAAACAAACCAACAAACACTATGCCAACTTCCTCAAGATCCACAGAATAAACATACAATAACAATGAATGGTGAAACAAA